CGCTGTCTGCTTATTTGCAATTATAATCAGAATAATGTCAAGTCCAGATTCAATGTTGTTTGCATAAGTATGGCTATATTTTTCGTTTTGTTTATTTAATAAGTTAATTTCAGGACAACTTTGGACATTTTGTTTGTTTGTTATGAGTTTTAAATAGGCAAGGCAAGGCAAGGCAAAGCAAGTTTATTTATATAGCACTTTTCAACACAAGGCAATTCAAAGTGCTTTACAAAAAATGAAAGAGATTAAGAAAATGGCATTTAAAATCAGTCATTAAAAAGAAAAGCTAATAAAATAAACATTAAAATAAAAAAAAATAAAAAATACATGGATAAAAGTTACAGTGCAGTCAATTAAACATTAAAAGAAAAAAAAATAGATTTAAAGTTGAAAGTGGAGAGATAGAGAGAGAAGCAGCACTGTCTGCTTAGTTGCAATACTGTAGCTTATGCAATTTAGGCCTATAAATTGTTTATGTAAATTATGTGCCAGTGTGTCCATGGTTTTGAGTCTGTGTGTGTGTTGAGCGCAGCGCCGTCTGCTTTTTGCAGTACAGTAACTAAAGTAGGACTAAGCATACCGGTAGTTTCTGTGGACCTGTCTGCCCGTTTTGTGAGTGCACTGCGCGCATGCGCACTTGTGTGGCATTGTTTGGGATGACCTAATTAAAATAGCGTCCCCCCAGTAAAAAAATCCCCACTACACCACTGAGCGTGAGTGTTACGTAGTGATGTCATTATGTTACGGATGTAAACATAGGAGTTCAATTAAGTAATTTCTTAGGCAGGTGTGTGGGAGAGAAACTCCCACCCTAGGAAGGGAAAACCCCAAAAAGCATAATAGGGCCCCTTTAAAGATGACAACACTTGTTTTAGTTATTTTTGTCACACTCCTAGGTTTATGTCACGGTTTTAGTGTTGTCTGTCTGGTTATGGGTTTTGTAAGTCTGTTCATTTGGTGTTTTGTCTTCCTCCTTGTGTTTTGTCTGGTCCTCCTCCCTGTCGTTAGTTTCCCTGGTGTGTCTGATTGTCTCATTGTGTTCACCTCTTGCCCTTGTATTTCTCCCTCCTTGTCTTGTCATGTGATTACCCTTCTGTGTATTTAGTCTAGTCTTCCCCTGTGTTCCATGTCGGTCCATTGTTTTCCCTCCATGTTATTTCACGGTCCATGTTCCTTGTGCTGCTCATTTGTTTTTGGATATTTTGGATACTGCCTTTTGACACAGCTTTTATTATTTAATAAAGCTCGCTTTTTGTTAAAATGCTGCATTTAGGTCCTACCTTTTCCACGCACCCTGACAGAATGGACTGACCACAAATGGACCCAGCAGATGATCCATTTGAGATAGAATTACAGCATTTGACCTTTTATCTGGCTTGCTGCTTTGATTGGTGGAAGGGAGCGTCCAGTGTTCTGCAGAAGGGGGCTGCTCTGGTAGAGGCGCACCGGTTGGCTATGGAGAAACCAGGCTTGGCGACATTTTTACCTGGCTGGATTTTGAACTTCCTCTGGGTGTGTGATTTCCAGCCTGCTGACTACAAACGTCTCGGTGTGTTCCATCCGGAGTCAACCCCTGCTTCTTCCCCATGTCCTGCTCCTGTCCAGGAGCCGTTCTCTGGAACTCGTCTGGCTTTTGGAGGTCCACGAAGCCTCCAAACGGCTCCTAAAAGAAGGAGTCGCAAGGCCAGGCTAGCAGCCAGAGCCCCAAGAGCCATGGTTCCGGCCCAAGTTCTGGCCCCAGCAGCCATGGTCCCAGACCCAGTTCTGGCCCCAGCAGCCATGGTTCGAGTCCCAGTCCCGGCCCCAGCAACCATGGTTCGGGCCCCAGTACCGGGTCCAGCAGCCATGGTTCCGGCCCCAGTTCCGGCCCCAGCAGCCATAGTTCCGGCTTCAGTGCCGGCCCCAGTAGCCTTGGTCCCTACTCCAGTTTCGGCTCCAGTACTGGCTTACCGGCCGACGCCAGCTCCCGAGTCCTGTCGGCGTACCGGCCAACGCCAGCTCCCCGAGGCCTGTCGGCGTACCGGCCGACTCCAGCACCTCGTCTCCTGTTGGGGTACCGACCGACACAAGTCCCCTCTCAAGTCCCCTCTCGAGTCCCCTCTCAAGTCCCCTCTCGAGTCCCCTCTCGAGTCCCCTCTCAAGTCTCTTCTCGAGTCCCCTCTCAAGTCTCCTCTCGAGTTCCCTCTCAGGTCCCATCTCGAGTCTCTTCTCGAGTCCTCTCTCAAGTTCCCTCTCAAGTTTCCTCTCTAATCCCCTCTCGAGTTCCCTCTCAAGTTCCCTCTCGAGTCCCCTCTCAAGTCTCCTCTCGAGTCCCCTCTCGAGTTCCTTCTCGAGTCTCCTCTCGAGTTCCTTCTCGAGTCCCCTCTCAAGTCCCCTCTAAAGTCTCTTCTCGAGTTCCCTCTCAAGTTCCCTCTCAGGTCCCCTCTCGAGTCTCTTCTCGAGTTTTCTCTCAAGTCCCCTCTCAAGTTTCCTCTCTAATCCCCTCTCGAGTTCCCTCTCGAGTCCCCTCTCGAGTCCCCTCTCAAGTCACCTCTCAATTCACCTCTCGAGTTCCCTCTCGGGTCCCCTCTCGAGTCTCTTCTCGAGTCCCCTCTCAAGTTTCCCCTCAGTTCTCCTCTTGAGTTCCCTCTCAGGTCCCCTCTCAAGTCTCCTCTCGAGTTCCCTCTCGGGTCCCCTCTCGAGTCTCTTCTCGAGTCCCCTCTCAAGTCACCTCTCAAGTTCCTACCCGAGTCCCCTCTCAAGTTTCCCCTCAGGTCTCCTCTCGAGTTCCCTCTCGAGTTCCCTCTCAAGTTCCCTCTCAGGTCCCCTCTCAAGTCCCCTCTCGAGTTACCTCTCGAGTTCCCTCTCAAGCCCTCTCTCGAGTCTCCTCTCGAGTTCCCTCTCGAATCCCCTCTCCAGTCACCTCTCGAGTTGTCTCTCAAGTCCCCTCTCGAGTTACCTCTCAAGTTCCCTCTCAAGCCCTCTCTCGAGTCTCCTCTCGAGTCTCCTCTCGAGTTCCCTCTCGAGTCCCCTCTCGAGTCCCCTCTCAAGTCACCTCTCAAGTCACCTCTCCAGTATCCTCTCCAGTTCCTTCTCAAGCCCTCTCTCAAGTCCCCACTCAAGCCCCTACTCAAGTGCTGTTGGAGGTTCCGCTGGGGGTCCTGCCAACTCCATGTCCTGTCCCGTTGGGGGCCCCGCCGACTACTCTTCTGCCGGGGGTCCTGCCAACCCTATGTCCTGTGCCGTCGGAGGTCCCGCCGACTACTCTTCTGCCGGGGGTCCTGCCAACCCTATGTCCTGTGCCGTCGGAGGTCCCGCCGACTACTCTCCTGCCGGGGGTCCTGCCAACCCTATGTCCTGTCCCGTTGGAGGTCCCGCCGACTACTCTCCTGACGGGGGTCCTGCCAATCCTATGTCCTGTTCCTCTGGGGGTTCCGCCGACAACTCTCCTGCCGGGGGTCCTGCCAACCCCTTGTCCTGTTCCGTTGGAGGTTCCGCCATCACCTGTCTCGCCGGGGGTCCTGCCAACTCCTGGTCCTCTTCCGTGGGGGATCCTGCCGAAGCCTGTCCCACTGACTCCGGTTCCTGTTCGGCCGAAACCGGGTTCTGCCCGGCCTCCGGAGCTGTCTGGTCTTCGCCCTCGAGCCCGGCCCCCTGAGTGCCGTGGTCTTCGCCCTCGTGCCCGACCCCCTGACTCTTCCTGCCGCTGCCTTCGCCCTCATGCTCGGCCCCCTGAGTTCGCCCGCTGTGGCCTTCGCCCCTCCATGGTCTCTGCCTTGCCCCCGAGCCGTCCGCCCGAGTTCCCCACCTTGGACTCTGCCTTGCCCCCGGGCCGTCCGTCCGAGTTCCCCACCTTGGACTCTGCCTTGCCCCCGGGCCTTCCGCCCGAGACCCCCTCCTTGGTCTCTGCCTTGCCCCCGGGCCGTCCGCCCGAGACCCGTCCTCCAGACCCCCTCCACCCACCCTTTCTTGGCCCTAGTTATGCAACATATAAAATTACAAAATACAAAATAAAAAGTATATAAAAAATCTATATATACATGTTAATAGAATATGGGATATGTACAAGTCAGTGTAAAATGTATGTTTCAGGCAAAACAGAAATGTTCCTACGGGTTTAATTACCCCAGTGGTCTCGCAGCTTGTAACCTTGCAGTTCCATTATGTCTCAGCAATCAATCCTGCCTTAAACGACTTCATTACCTCGTATGTACTCTGACCATAAAACCAAAGCGGCAGAAATTCTTCAAGTCTTTCTATGAAAAAGCACTCTGGAAAACGTGTTCTGCCGAGGAATGCTGTTGGTTCCATAAAGTTCCCCAATGACCAATCAACTGTAATTGTAGCCTGAATGTACCGCAGCTCCACCCTTGCCAGTCTGTGCGGCCATTTTCTTTTTCGAAAGGCCTTAAATCCACCCCTGCAATTTCAGCTCCCCTGTCAGCGAACTCTCTCATTGAAAGGACTTACATGCATTTGCTGCTAAAACGGGACAATAATGGGCTTTGATGGCGTTATTTCGGTAGCCCTTGCAGATTGCGTGGGACTGAGCTGTGCCACCCAGCTGATTGTGTTGAGTCAGTCTGGAGGGAGTTTAGTTAAGATTCCTTACGGTAGCTCTGCTGAGGAAATCATTTACTTAATATCCGAGCCGCTTGTTTTTTTATGGTGGAAATATCAACATGATTGTGTCGAACATACTCAAAGTTACAGCACATATTGCAGAAAGAGGGATTTTCTTGCCTCATGTTTTAGTTTCACCGCTTGTTTGGGTTTATGTGTGAGTCAGCACATTGCACCCGAAAACTCCTGTTGTAAATGTTCCATTATTATCATCACTTTTATGATTCTAAGAATAATTTCAATCTTTAATTGGGTTTAATTTGAAACCACATACTGAATACCTTATCTGTTCAGATCATTATTGGCGCAAACATGTCACATGACCAAAATTGTTCACGTCATTTCTTTCTTTTCTCATTTTGCTGTCCTTGGCTGCCTGAAAACCCCTCCCTAATTCCATGGTACTGTATGAGGCTTCCCTTGGATTTGCAAGTGGTATGAGTCACAATGACCATTTAAAAGGCTTCTCATTAACCAGATCTTCCATCTCCATGTGTTTAAACTGGACCACATACAATTCAAGTAGGTTTAAGTCTGTGAACTGCATGTCATGTTGCTTTCTTGTTTTGTCTTGGTCCTACTTATGCCCGGTTCTTGTTTTACGGCACCCACATTTATGCCGAGGCAAGAGAGCTCTCCTTCTGCAGAACCACAGGTTGACTTGAAGCTGGCCACAGTAAGTGCATCATTGCATGAGTTGCATGACAGACGTTTGAGAATGGACTGCATGTGACTTAATCTCTTTTACAAAGGCATTTCTATTGAAGGAAGAACATTGCAACAATTTGTACTCGTCTGTGTGTGGGGTGCTGAGATAGTGGTTGTATTTATTTCATTTTTGTGTGGATGGGGGGCAGAGGTAAATAACTGCCTTTCTTTCTGAGTTCTTTGCGATGTTAAATTGCATGTTTTAGCACATTGTTTCAGTATTTTCCTTTTCCCTAATTATCTCTGTAGAGGGAATCGTACGGAAAAACCATCGGCATGTGATTCAATTTCCAATATTGCTTGCAAACAAGTTATTCAGTTTATTATGGCAGAGGATATACATTGTTATGAGACAGATGAAATAAACTATGTTGCTGTAAATCTGATCACCGAAGGGTGCAGATTTAAACGTAAAAGTTATAAATGAACCTAATGTAAATTGGATGGATGCAAAGTATGACAATAAGGTTTAATCCTCTGTTGCATGCTGCAAGTAAATAATCAACCAAGGGAATACAAACATATAGCTTGGCATTCATTTAGATGTGCAGGATTTGTAATTTCAAATGTTCTGATACTGTAGGAATACCTCGAGCACTACTACAATCTGCAAGAAGAGCCTATGGGGCGCACAAAGCGGAGCCGGCCCTTCTTCACCTCCAAGGTGAAAGACATGCAGATATTCTTTGGGCTAAATGCAACAGGCGTGCTGGACTCAGACACCCTGGAGATAATGAGGAGCCCTCGATGTGGGGTTCCAGATGTGGAGGAGTACAGCCACCTCCAGGGAACACGATGGAACAAGAACATCCTCACCTACAGGTATCTGTGCAGATTTGAATGATTGTTAACAATCAAGATGCTATCAACCCGTTTACTTGAGTTGAATTCCAGTCTGAAATATATCTCTGTTAATGAGATATGAAGGCATGTTTGACCAGGACTGAACTGGCCAAATAACAGTCTGGAGTGCACATCCTGCCAATACGTGAGAAACGTTTAGAGGCAACAGGCAATACAAACCTTTGGCAGAAATAGGGAATCACAGCTGTCACAAATGTTTATGGTTTAAAGATGTTATGGTTTGGGATTTCTTCTACTGAGAGTTATTATGGGCTTGTTACAATGCCAAGGTCACCAGACATGCTTGCAATTATATGACACTGTCTGGAAAGTGCCTGTTAATTTTTTGAGACACGCCTGTTGGAATATAAATACAATAGATGCATTTTGAAAAATAAACTAAAACAGGATATATAGCACGTAAAGATTTTGTGAAACTTTTGAAGATGAAGAAGATGAAGATTCAACTTATTGTCATTACGTAGTACAGGTACTATGTAATTAAACGGTTTCTCTGCATTTGACCCATCCTAGTATTAGGAACAGTGTGCTGCCATTATGTACGGCACCCGGGGAGCAGTGTAGGGAACGGTGCCTTGCTCAGGGACACCTCGGTAGCACTTGGTCTTTCCGGGACTTGAACTGGTGACCTTCCAGTTGCCAAGCCAAGTCCCTATGGACTTTGCCACCACCGCCCCGGAGTTTTGTGACTCAAAAAAGTATTAAAAGTTGTTGTAAGGTTGTGATAACATCTGATTTGTTAGATTGATTTATGGAGACACTCATCCTTGATCGTTATGTTCATAAAAAAAATGAGATGACTTGTTGCTGTTGCAGAATTGGCAGGTACACCAGAGATTTGCTTCGCAACACTGTGGACTCTCTGGTTGAGTCAGCTTTCAGCGTTTGGGCCAGAGCCAGCAGTCTGACGTTTGTCAGGTCGCACACCCGCAACGCTGACATCATGGTGGAGTTTGTGACCTATGGTGGGTTTGCTTTCTGCTTCACACAGGACAGGTATCGATTAAAGTGCATTTAACAACTTGAGTCACAGAATGACATTGTGCAGTTTTCAGTGTGTAAAAGACAATCTCATGGATTTGAACAAAACTGTGCTTCTGTAGTTTAACTTCTAGCCAAGACTGCGTCATCCGACACATGTCTGCTGAACTCGAGACTCATTTAGACGATGTAAACAGAGGCCTGTAATTTTCTATTCTCAATGTGTTCTCTGTGGGTTTCTATTTCATGTCTGGCCTTGAACATCTCATGAAGAACATGGTGATTTGTATCCATTTGACGGACCCAGAGGCTCACTGGCTCATGCTTTCAAGCCAGGGCCTGGCGTTGGAGGGGACACACACTTTGATGATGCTGAGTATTGGACAGCAGGAGAGACAGGTACTGAGCTCAATCACACTGGTACTCCACTATGATACTTAAAGATTGAAATAAGTGAATAGCCTTTTTTGTTGTGTTGTTGCAGGTATGAATCTGTTGGTGGTAGCAGCTCATGAATTTGGACATGCTTTGGGCCTGAAGCACTCCAGAAATCCTGATTCATTGATGTACCCGACCTACAGATCCTCCCGTTCAGCCAACCTTTTATCCATAGAGGATGTAGTAAATATCAACGCACTTTACAGTAGGTTTGTGTTAGGTCCAGTCAGAGGGAACCCAAATGACTTTTCGAGGTTGGGTTGGAGTTCTCAGAATAACCCCTGGCTGTCGGAGTCGCTGCTCCCTCAGCTCATGCAGAACAAATGTGCTTCAGACACGACATTTGACGCGGTGTCCACTGTTGGGGATGCCACCTTCTTTTTTAGAGATAGGTACTGTATGTTGATTGTTCTCTCTCATCTTGTATTTACAAGTATCTACAGTATATTTCCTCTTCATTAAAAGCATAAATGTCCGTCTCTGAATCTCATAGTGTTTATTTACAACCAACTAGATACTGAATTGCGTCTTCTTTTTTGTGATGTTTTAAAAAATGTTTTCCCACAAGATACCTCTGGATTAAACACAATGAACAAGATGACATCAAAGAAGGTCTCATCACCAACTTTATGCCAAAGATTGAAACCAGCATCGATGCAGCCTTCTGGGTGCCTCGCAGATCTGCTGCTTACCTTATTCATGGTAACCAACTTGAATAATTCAGTGCATAGAGCTAAACAATTTCACCTTTCATTCATCCAAATAAAACATCTTCGTCTTTCTTTGTTTGGAACAGAGTCCATGTTCTGGACAGTGAAAGGCTCTCTTGTGAGGGGAAAGCCTCGGGCACTAAGCCACTTTGGGTTTCCAGCCTGGATCCAGGACGTTGACGCAGCAGTCCACATAGTGAAAACTGGACGCACCCTTTTCTTTATGCATGATATTTATTGGAGGTAAGGCAACCAAAGAGTTTGGGTAAACTATCCTTATCTCATGTTCTGATGTTGTGCTTCCTGTTTTATTTTAAAGGTCAACCAAGAGGACATGGTTGCTCCACTTTTTTACAAACACATGGTCATCATGAGTTCACCAGTGCTTGTGACTCAAGTTGGAACCAATGATAGTGTTTTGTTCACTTGAAGGATCATTTCTACCACTACTTTAATTTGCATGCAATTAAGAGCATTTTACTTAGCAAACAGTCAAATCTCTGCACTGCAGGTATGGGAATGCTCATGTTTTGCACTGTAGGATATATTATTCATGTCCCATCATAAGGAGAGGAAATCATCTTATATCATACATTGGCTAAAATAACATAACGACATGCATGTAGGGAGGCTGTGGCTCACTGGGTTGGTGGGCAAGACACTTCACCCCAAATTGCTCTTATGGGGATTGCCCACAGTATCGAGTGTATGCAAGTCGCCTTGGATAAAAGCGTCTAACAAGTGACACAGACTCAGATCTGACTTTAAGATTTAGTTTGCCTCACACAGAGAACTAACGGCTCATTTTGGAGTCATGAACAAATGTTTTTTCTCAGCTTTGAAAGAGGACTAGATGAGCATGAGTCATGACTTCTGACGAACGTTGTTTATATCGTGTCTTTTTCAGTTACAATGAAAACCGAAGGGTTATGGATTTTGGTTACCCAAAGTACATCAGCGAGGACTTTCATGGAGTCAACACAACAATAAACGCAGCTGTCTACAAAGAGGGTGAGCCATTATACATATTACTCATTGTATCATATGATGGAAATGTTACTATATGGCAAACTGGGTGATGTTCTGATTGGAAAGAGGAGTAAACTTGTCTAGAGTTAGTGTATTTCTGTCTGTAGCCTGAGTGGACTTTTGCATGTTGTAATGTTTTTGGCAGCGCAGGGATGCTAATTAACATGCAACATCAGCTGAGTGTAGTTAAGCTTTTACAGAGCATGTGGTTCCCCTCTGTGATTTAAACTGTATCATTTAACCACTTTACCACTTACGGCCTTCATTTAATCTACTATCATTTCAACTGTGAGCAAAAGTGGATATTTAACTTCAGAAAGATACTCATCATCATTATTATCGACAACAAACAGCAACAACATTCCAGAAAACGTAAAATGATATAGGACAAATATGTGAATTACTAAGTAAGCATCCTAAACATTTGTTTCCTCATCTCAGGTTTTATCTACTTCTTTGACGGACCACAAGTCTACAAATACGACTACGCCCAGAAACAAGTTGTCGGAATTGAGAAAGCAAATTCCTGGCTTGGATGTTGAAATACTTTGAAACCATGAACGCGCTGCAAGGAAATTACCTGAAAAAACCTTACCTGAAAAGACCTTGAGTAAATGAAAAATAGAGAATAAAAAAAACCCACTGTTTTTGGTCGTATTTTGCCAAAATAAAAGAAATAAAAACCTGATATAACCTGTGTGTGTGGTTTGTATGTATCCCACGGTAAAATGCCTCCAGCATCAGAATGTATGGTTTTTTCTTTAAATCCTTTTTATCAGATCTGCACATCACTGTGGTGGAGACTGATATTATAAGTGTAAATTAGGTATGCCTCACTAACGCCTGCAGGTTTTGACTTGACTGAAAATAAGCTACAGAATTCACAAATAACATGTTCAGCTTCTGGTTTATATACGACAAAACACACTGTGCTCACACGTATTTCCCCATTACAGACAGAAAGACACATTATGGAGACATTTCATTGGGAGGTTTTAACCACAAAACCTCCAGAAAACTAGGGCAGGTAGACCCAGCTGTATAACTAGCAGGATTGTGCGCTTTTGTGCCATGTGATTGCCCAACAACCCCAAGAATACACCCATATAAAAAAGTGAAGCCTTGTAGAAACGTGCATTTAAAACATGGACTGGTTCTGGATGTGGATACCTGTTTTGGGCTCTCTGATTTTTGCGGAAATCTTGTGGAGTCTACCGATCGATCGGGATCAGTGGCCGAGGCCTCAGGATGTGGAGCTGGCTGAGGTTTGTGGCAGACGACTGAGATTATACTCAACACATATCACCATTTCTGCCCCATTTTATTATTTAGTATTTCCTTATTAAATGAAATGATGACATGTGAACATTGTTGTGCAGAATTGCTTAGGTTGAACTATTCAAACTGAAGCACTGTTTTGATACAATGCTGTATTTAAATGTTTTTAGTGTCCATTTGATTTGCCTGCTTCCATTAAAAAGTGGTTGCTTCAACTTTCTTACAAAGATACATCTAATGATTTTTTTATCTGGATCAAATGGTTTTCACATTATAAATGCTTGTTAGGGAACTGTAAATGTTGTTTAAAAAAAGGCAACCTACTTTCATGACACAAGTCACTCAAACTAATTAGCTAACTGTCAATGCATATTAAAGCACTTCCTGGTTTTGTGCCTCTAAAGAAAAGGGCAACCTTTAAACTCACATCAAAAAGACATTTTTAAATCGAACACTGTACCATACCAGAGAGAAAACTGCAGCGCAAACGTCATTTACAGATATATTTAATATATCTCATCTGAGACCTAAGCCTCCAGATCTGAACTTTTTTCAACAACAGGGCTACCTCAGGCGGTTTTACAGCCTGAACCCCAGAGGCAGAGTTTCAAGGAGGAGGATCAGGTCCACGTATGCCATGGAGGAGAAGATCATAGAAATGCAAACACAATTTGGTTTGAGAGAGACGGGTGGTCTGAATCCTCACACCCTGAATGTGATGAAGCTTTTACCCTAGAAAGCCTAAATGGAAGAATCACACCATCACATTGTTTTTTTACTGGAATATTATACAATACGCATTTTATTGTTGATTTGTTTTCAGATTTCATTTTGCCAAGTGACTATAAGCAGCTGCGGATTTAGTTTCATGTTTGTGCGTCTGTCTGTGGAGCTGAAAGATATCCAAATACACTCCGGACATGAAGAGAGAGGATGTGGAAAAGTCCTTTCGCTCAGCGCTAAAGTTATGGAGGGATGCAGCACCGCTGAAGTTCATCAAAGTCAACCATGGCAAAGCTGCTAGTCTTCAGCTTCGCACGCAAAAGTAAAACCACTTCTGAAGACTACTTATGTTGATTAAAACTGAGTTTAAATTATTGTAAATTAAAATACCGCAAAAGAAAGAGAGGAAAAAAGCACATGAGATTGAAGTCGTGACAAAGTGTCTTTTCTGTTGCAGCTCATGGAGATTTATTTCCCTTTGATGGACCCCGGGGTGTGCTGGCTCATGCCTTTCAGCCAGGAGAGGGGATAGGAGGAGACGTGCACTTTGATGAGGACGAAACTTGGACGGCAAGGTTTGTCAATATGTAACCCAAAACAGGTTTCGCTTCTCATTGAGGATAATCAACATTCTTTAAAAAGAAAATAAGAACATACAGAAGTATACTCAAGTACTGTATTTAAGTTCACAAGACAGGTTACAAGTACTTGATTATAGTATTTCCTTGTTATTCTATGTAAACTAACATTTATAAATATTGCATACAATAGCTTAAACATAAGGTTGGGTGTATTGTTAGACCACTAATTCAGTATCAAAGGTATCTCTCTATGCATCGTCTATTACTACAATTATAAATGAATCAATACATAAAAGTATCTGTTACGGTGTGCAGGACTCAGGACCCAAATGCAGATATAACGAAAATAACTCCTTTATTTAAAGGCTACAAATAGAAAGCTTTTAGATGTGCAGCTCCACTAACATGGAACAGTCTGCAAAAAGAATGGAACATTACCAAGCTAGTACCACTACATGTTTTTAAAGCTCGGTTGGATGCTACAAAATCAGATGCTGTTGGTACCTGTACTTGTGGTTAAATATGTAAATTGTAATCCCTGTACATTTTGCTGTATGATGTCCTTTTGTTGTTCTGTTGTTTATGTCTTCTTGTGGAACCTACTGCTGCAGGTCTCCCTTGAAAAAGAGATCATTGATCTCAATGGGATTTTACCTGGATAAATAAAGGTTTTGAATTGAATTGAATACCAAAAACAGAGACAGAACGGAACACTCACCGATGAACTGGTCATTACACAAGACAACCCGACAAAGAGAGACAGAAAACCCAGAACTTAAATACACCCAGGACTAATAACCTAAACACGAGACAGGTGAGGAGGGAGGAGAAAACACAGAGGCACCAGGTGAACACAATCGGGTAATCAGGGAGGGAAACAGACAGAAAGCAAACAGGCAGGAAACGGGGGTGAACACTTTACAAAATAAAACAGGAAACCCAAAGATAGAAAAAGACAAGAAAAACACCAACACAGACAGATCCTAACAGTACGCCCCCTCAAGGGACGGATCCCAGACGTCCCAAAACAAAAAAAAGTCCAAAACCTCAAGCAGGGTGGATGGAGGGGGTCCGGAGGAGGGACGCATCACTAAGCCACCAGGGTGGGTGGAGGGGGTCAGGAGGACGGGACTGAACTGACCGCCCAGGGGCACGGCAGAGGACCAGGAAGGGGTCTCGGGCGGACGGCCCGGGGGCAAGGCAGAGTCCAAAAAGGGGAAGTCGGGCGGACGGCCCGGGGGAAAGGCAGAGGACCAGGAAGGGGTCTCGGGCAGACGGCCCGGGGGCAAGACAGAGTCCAAGGTGGGGACCATGGAGGGGCGAAGGCAGCGGCAGGAAGAGTCAGGGGGCCGGGCTCGAGGGCGAATACCGGGGCTCTCAGGGGGCCGGGCTCGAGGGTGAAGACCGCGGCTTTCAGGGGGCCGGGCTCGAGGGCGACCCGGTGTCGGAGCTGGTGGGACAGGCCTCGGCAGGATCCCCCACAGAAGAGGACCAGGACACGGGATTGGCAGGACCCCCAGCAGGAGAGCAGTCGGCGGGACCTCCAACAGGACAGGACATAGGGTTGGCAGGACCCCCGGCAGGAGAGTAGTCGGCGGGGCCTCCAACGGCACAGGACATAGGATTGGCAGGACCCCCGGCAGGAGAGTAGACGGCTGGACCTCCAACGAGACAGGACAAAGGGTTGGCAGGACCCCCGGCAGGAGAGTAGTCGGCGGGGCCTCCAACGGCACAGGACAAAGGGTTGGCCGGACCCCCGGCAGGAGAGTAGTCGGCGGGACCTCCAACGAGACAGGACAAGGAGCTGGCAGGACCCCCGGCAGGAGAGTAGACGGCGGGACCTCCAAGGGGACAGGAAGAAGGGTTGGCAGGACCCCCGGCAGGAGAGTAGTCGGCGGGGCCTCCAACGGCACAGGACAAAGGGTTGGCAGGACCCCCGGCAGGAGAGTAGTCGGCGGGACCTCCAACGAGACAGGACAAGGAGCTGGCAGGACCTCCGGCAGGAGAGTAGACGGCGGGACCTCCAACGAGACAGACATACGATTGGTAGGACCCCCGGCAGAGGAGTAGTCGACGGGACCTCCAACGGAACAGGACATGGAGTTGGCAGGACCCCCAGCGGAACCTCCAACGGACCAGGACATAGGGTAGGGACTTGAGACGTGACTCGAGAGGGGACTCACGAGGGGAACTAGAGAGGGGACTCGAAGAGGGACTAGAGGAGGGACTAGAGGAGGGAACTGGAGAAGGGAACTGGAGAGGGGACTCGAGAGGGAACTGGAGAGGGGACTCGAGAGGGAACTCGAGATGGGACTAGAGAAGTGACCTGAGGAGGGACTAGGGAAAGGACTAGAGAAGGGAACTCGAGAGGGGAACTAGAGAGGGGACTAGAGGAGGGAACTCGAGAGGGGACTCGAGATGGGACTCGGGAAGGGACCAGAGAGGGGACTAGAGAAGTGACTAGAGGAGGGACTTGAGATGGAACTCGAGAGGTGACTCGAGAAGAGACTAGAGATGGAACACGAGAAAGAACTTGAGAGGAAACTGGAGAGGGGACTTGAGAGGAAACTTGAGAGGGGACTCGGGAGGAAACTTGAGATGGGACTGTGGCAGCTGGGGCCAGAGCTGGGGCCAGAGCCGGGTCTGGAACCATGGCTGCGGGGGCCGGAATTTAAGCCAGAATCATGGCTGTAAGGTCCGGTTCTGGAGCCGGAAACATGGCTGTAAGGTCCGGTTCTGGAGCCGGAAACATGGCTGTAAGGTCCGGTTCTGGAGCCGGAAACATGGCTGTAAGGTCCGGTTCTGGAGCCGGAAACATGGCTGAATGGGCCGGCTCTGGAGCCGGAATTGAAGCCAGAATCATGGCTGTAAGGTCCGGTTCTGAAGCCGGAAACATGGCTGTAAGGTCCGGTTCTGGAGCCGGAAACATGGATGAATGGGCCGGCTCTGGAGCCGGAATTGAAGCCAGAATCTTGGCTGTAAGGTCCGGTTCTGAAGCCGGAAACATGGCTGTAAGGTCCGGTTCTGGAGCCGGAAACATGGCTGTATGGGCCGGCTCTGGAATCAAATCCATGGCTGCCGGGACCGGTTCTGGAGCAAGGACCCTGGCTGCTGGGGCCAGAACTGGGTCTGTAACCATGGCTGCTGGAGGCTGAACTGGTTCTGGAACCATGGCCCTTTGAGCTCGTGCTGCCAACCTGGCCTTGCGACTCCTTCCTTTAGGAGCCGTTTGGAGGCTCCGTGGACCTCCAAAGGCCAGACGAGTACCAGCGAATGGCTCCTGGACTGTAGCAAACACTGGGTGAGAAGCAGGGGCTGACGCCAGACGGACCACACCGATGCGTGTGGTATCAAAACGGGAGTTGGGAGGCCTGGGGCTGTCAGGCAGGGGATAACACACCGTGAGAAAATCCAAAATCCTGCCCGATAAGAATTTAACCAAGCCTGGCTTCTCCATAGTAATCCGGCGTGCCTCTGCCAGAACAGCCTCTCGCTGCTGAACCCTGGATGCTCCCAACCATCGATACGAGCAGTCATCCAAAGCAAAGGAAAACTCCAATAGCTCCTGCTCAAAAGGATCTGCTGGGCCCATATTTTGGTCGGGTTGTAATGTTACGGTGTGCAGGAATCAGGACCCAAATGCAGATATAACGAAAATAACTCCTTTATTTCAAGGCTACAAATATACCAAAAACAGAGACAGACCGGAACACTCACCGATGAACTGGTCATTACACAAGACAACCCGACAAAGAGAGACAGAAAACCCAGAACTTAAATACACCCAGGACTAATCACCTAAACACGAGACAGGTGAGGAGGGAGGAGAAAACACAGATGCACCAGGTGAACACAATCGGGTAATCAGGGAGGGAAACAGACAGAAAGCAAACAGGCAGGAAACGGGGGTGAACACTTTACAAAATAAAACAGGAAACCCAAAGATAGAAAAAGACAAGAAAAACACCAACACAGACAGATCCTAACAGTATCCAATATATCATATGACACAACTATAGGGGCCATTTCCATCGTGATGATTACTTTTGGTGCTTTGAGTTCATTTTCCTAACAACACTTTTACTAACTGTAAGTACAATTATGACTGCAGGATATTTACTTTTTTTATTTGAGTATTTCTACTTTTCCATTCAATTCTAAACCACAGTTGGAAGCAAACAGCTGTTGTGCTGATTTTGTTGAAACTGTAAACACCTTACACTAAGGGTAACAGTAGGTGTTGCATGTGTCTTTGACAGCTGATGAAAAACTACTGGGACGTAGCCAAACATGCAACATTCCTGAATGTTTCAAACCCGCGTAATGCATTTTTCTGTGTGGATTTGCCAGCCAGATGAACTAACAGGACTTGTCTGTCCCTGGGTTTCAGGTTACAGCCTGTTTGCAGTTGCAGCTCATGAGCTCGGCCACTCGCTGGGTTTGACTCACTCAAAAGACCCCTCTGCTATCATGTACCCCAACTACAGAATTCAGAGCAGTACGCAGTATTCTCTGTCCAAAGACGATGAGCTTGGGATCCAAGCGCTGTACGGTGAGGAGCAAATAAAATTGTGGAGTGATAATTTGCACAAAATACCATATTTAATGGATTATTTTTAAATGTTTCTTAGGAAAACCAAAAGGAAAAGTGGCAACAGAACCAGCCCCTGAAAAATGTGGCCCCAATTTGTCTTATGATGCAGCAGTTATGATTGGAAAAGAGATTGTTTTCTTTAAGGACAGGTACAAAATATACAATATATGTTCTATTATTTGGTTGCAAAAGAGCTTTACATGTTTAAACATCAATTAAGTCTGCTTATTGTTTCAACATAGGTACATGTGGATGAGAACAACGCAGAAAACGTATTGGAGTCGCCTGAGAGAAAGCCACAGCAGCACATATTTACCCAGCATCAGTTCTCACGTGGATGCCGTTTATGACATCCCTGCCAAAGGCGTGGCGTACATATTCACTGGTATGGTAATGGTCTGGTCAGTCTGCAAATAATCACTTAGGCCTTGTCAGCATGACATGGCTATATTTCCAGTGCGAAACACAGTTCGCTCAAATTACACCCTTGTGCAACTTAAGTGTTGCAGTTCATGCAAGAGGCTCATTAAGTTTGGCAGCGCTTTGTGGTATGTTGCTGTTTTTCATAGTGTCCTAAAAATGAAGTGACACGGCTGTGTTTTTCCAGGTCATAAGTATTGGGTGGTTCGACAGCTTAAGATGAAAAGTCACGCCCGCTCCATCCATGAGTACGGCTTCTCCTCCAGAGTCAAGCAGGTTGACGCTGCCGTGCATGTCAGCGAATATGGGAAAACGGTCTTCTTCATTGGAGAGTTTTATTACAGGTAATCCATTTTTTATAATGGCAATTTGCTTCCTATTGCAACATTATGTATCTATCACCCTAGGACTGTACATATATTGCCAAATCAAAGGCAGTATATCCGTTTGTATTACTATTATTAACATACCAGCCAATTGATCAGATGGAAGTTTACATTAAAGCTTCCCTAACTCTAACCCTATCCGCTTCAATTGTATTCAGCACACACCAGGCTTGGAATTTCGTCATTTTAGGGGCAAGGCCATTTGGCCTTCCCGTTCACATTTTTTTCAAGGGCACAAAGGCCACATGACAGGGCACAAAGGCCGTTTGGTTAAATTACGCTGGTCAATCAACATGACTGAAAAGTGTAGCACTAACGTCAACACCAGTCGTTTTACAAATGGCTGAATAGCAATAGTGTTTCTTTAACGTATACGTTAAGTTCAGCCATAAACCACATAAGTCAGTCATGTATTATATCAAAACCGCTTAGCAAGAAAAATACTAGATTCAAAGGTGACAGCTATCTACTAGCTTGTAGAAGCAACACTAGATGTAGACCCCTTGAAGGGAAGACGTTAGCGCTATCCAAACTAGCTAGCTATCGCTAGTTTTCATGACAAAATGTAACGAGTCAACTTTAAATAGGCTAATACAATGGTAATTACCTATCAATAGTACTTTCTATGTACACGTAAATGTTAAGTCCTTTCAAATACTACCACATACTTCAGTTAAATCATATCAAAACACCTTGGTCCGCTTGCTTACCTGTGCTTGTCTTGCTCCCGCGGCTGAGGAGGAGTCTGTCGGGCCCCTACAGGCATTTCTGACGGAACAATCACAGCAGAGCAATCGCTCTGATCCACAGGGCACAGGCATCGCCCGGGACTATCCTACTGCGCGCACTAATATGACTTTACTAGCGTTGTTTACACTGGAACTTTTGACAGGGGCACCAAGGCCACTTTGGCCGTGAATTGCATTTTTTTTCACAGGGCATCACGGCCAAAGTGCGGGGCAACGACGGCCATGGCCGTCGTGGCCGTCGTGAAATTCCCACCCTGGCACACACATGATTGATGATGAAGCAACAGTCAATGCATCTGTTTGATCAAACTTCAGGTATGATGAGCTCAAGAGAAGGATGGACCCCGGCTTCCCCCGACTGATCCAAAAAGACTGGCCTGGAATTCCTAAAAGGGTTGACGCTGCCTTTAAGTTAGAAGGTAAACAAAAAGGAAACATGGGCAAGGTTTATGGTCATGAACTTTGTATAATGTGGACCTGAGCAACAAATAGAACACGGCTGAGATAGAACTTGTAATTTCTTGTTTACACCGTGTCTAGACGGTGGGTGGGGTTCATCGCACTGGACACACTTGTTTACTGAAAGTACCATTCACCCCAGTTACAGAACAATACATTTCTCAACTAGAAAACCCTGTGTTCACCTCTGTTTTCTTTTCTTATTACTCTTCCTCCATCCTTTTTATTCCATGCCATTGCAATATAAATACTGTTATATTTATATTTTACTATATTTTTTATTATTTTTTATATTTTTTCTAGCTCTCTATCTGTTATCTAATTGTTGTTTTACTTTGATGTATGCACCACGACAACTAGTCAAATTCCTCGTAAGTGTAAATCTACTTGGTAAAATTATTCTGATTAACTTTGTTAACATTTAATTGAATTTATTTTGAAACATGAGAAAATAACACACTTCTTTTACAATGTTTTGTTCACAGGTAACATCTTCCTCTTCAGTGGGGCAAAATCCTACCAGTACGACTTCAGACAGACACGAGTGATGAATACAATTTCAGCAAATTCTTGGCTAGGATGTTAATACATTGGTAAATTACTAATAATTCATACTTTATATAGTTGAGAATGTTTATTAAAGTTATTAAACCGAGAAATAAGTATCTTGTATTATGTATTTGACTGAATTGTTTATTTTGTGGCGCATGTCTTTACCTGTGACATTTATATATATTATGTGCAAGGATGTACAGTTCTGATAACTTAAAATGTGAATATGAAATGCAAAGTGTATACTTTTATTGATGAGTTATTGTCTTCAGATGTGCTTTCAAAATGTACCTTCAATACTGAACAACACTTAAAAACCTCATAACTACATGTTGTTAGTGTGAACGTGACTTTGTTGTAAAACTGAGTATATGGACAGGATGTGTATCTTATTAACTGAACTCAACCAAATGTATATTTTTCAAAAATCTCATATGCTTTGGCAAAACAAAGTAATTTCATCGTTGCTCTTTTCAAAAGCCAAGTCAGAAAAACTTGACACTTAAAAGATTTGCATCAGAATCTTAACTTTTCATATTTTGGAAAAAAGTTATATTATTAACAAAATCCGGTCGGTTCATCGTTTTGTATTATAAAATGTTTCTAAATGCAAAGGGTTTCAGCTGGTGGCGGTGAAGTTAATTGTAACTGCTATACTATTTGGTTGTTTATTATGCTTTATAACAATAGGCTATCATTTGGGTGGTAATTATTGGTTTTGAAAAATATATTCCGCAACAAAAATAACATTAAAACAATTACAGCTCTGAAAAAAAAGAATTAACTTCAGTTTTGAAGGTTAAGTATACCATAGCATAAAATGTAAATACTCAAGTACCTCACATTGTATTATCAAGAGTACAGTACTTAGGTTAAGCACCTGTACTTTACTTTTCCAGTCATTTTCTCTCTTTGTTGGTAAGAAAGTGTGCATTTTTTAGTCAAACAGACATAAGCAGAGAGGTCGGTGCAAATCATTTGTTTGTCTGTGCCAGGCATCTTAAGCAGCATTATCTTCCCCAAAATGCGTGAGAGGTAGTTCCAGCCTCCATTAGTGGACTTTAGTCGAACATCATACTCATGTTTACCCAGCAAACTGGACTGTGGTCCCTTAACATCACAGGTTTTCAAAAAGTACATACAAATACGGTAAACAACTAAAGGTTTCACCCAAATGTATAGCTCGGACAGTGTCTGTTGAGGTGAACATTTTACGTTTAAATGTATTCTTTGGATAAATAAGCGGCAGTTTAAATGTGTATGTTCCTGCTAATTTTTGCCAGAATTTAAAATGAATAACTGGACAAATCAGTGTAATCTAACTGAGACGCTCAAATGTAAGTTAGTGTTTGATTGTGGCCAATAAACAAATGAACCTTCACTGTAATTTACTCAACACACTTGTTTACTGCACTGTGCGCATGTAACAAATGATACAAACATAAGTTAAATCATATAAGGTGTGAAGAAACGGTGTCAGAGGAAAATTAAAGCATTTCATTAAAAGTAATATAATTGATAACAGAAGCAAAAACATATTTAAACCGCTTCAGTTAAATTGATCATATCATCTCCTCCCACTATGTTATCAGAGGAACCTCTGTGTACTCCCCCCTCCTCTGGCAGAGGGGCTTGTCTTTCTAGTGGAATACACAAAGGGACACCTTGTACCCTAATTCAGCATAAATCAGAAAAATACGAACATCCGACTGAGAGTTGATGGAGAGAAGAAAACATTTCAAAACTATGTCTGTAGTTGACTTTTTTTGGATAGTGCTAGTGGGTTGTTTTGCCTTCTGTCATGCAGCACCTACAATTGCGCCAACAGTTTCACCAGTGGAGGAAAACCTGGCAGAGGTAATTTCGTAATAGTGTCCTGCGTTAACAATCGGAATTAGGAACTGGCTGAAATAACCAGAGGATAACAGGGGATCACTTTGCATTCAAAGAAATTGTAGTGGTTGCAGGTTGCATGTATTTACATTCAAATAGGCTCTGACATTTAAATGAAATGAAATATGAATGACTTGCAATAAAATCCTCTTCCTTCTCCTGGTATCAGGATTACATTTCTCGGTTCTACGCTGACGTTGGGATGACAAACTCCACACTACGAAGAGCTGTTCAGAGCAATTTCAGTCAGGATCTACAGACCATGCAGGCTTTCTTTGGCCTGGAGGTAATTACAATGAATGAAAGCTATGACTTCCTGTAATCCAAACAATTATGAGTGCTCAAAATTGGCTAATGGTTTAATTTAGAAATGTCTGTATGGGATAATATATTTGTGTTTACTATTTCATACCACCATCCGTCTTTAGGTGACTGGAGTCATGAATAATGAGACTACGACTGTAATGAAGGAGCCCAGGTGTGGTGTGTCTGATATCAGCCGATATGGACACTTTAGTGGGAGACCCAAGTGGGAGAAGAGGCTGATTACATACAGGTAACTGGAAGTTAAGTTCGGAGGAGCTGCATGCTATTATTGTCAATACTTTTGTGAATGAATAGTTTTTGTGGTGGTTGACTATAATAATGAAGATGATGATTTGGTATGATTTGAACAGGATCACTCAATACACTCCAGATCTGACCCAGAGTCATGTGGATTCAACCATCGCTCAGGCCTTCCAGCTGTACAGCGATGTCATCCCGCTCAACTTTAAGCAGGTCTACAGCGGTAATGCGGACATCATGATCCTTTTCAAGGGTGGATGTGAGTCTGAATTGAACAAGACATTCTTAAAACCGCAAGCTGATCAGTATGTGAATCCTTTTATTTAGACTCACTAACACTTGATTAAATTATCTTCGTTGTCCTATTTCAGATCACGGGGACTTTTACCCTTTTGACGGGGCGGGTGGAGTCTTGGCTCATGCTAACTCTCCTGGACGGGGTCAGGGAGGGGACACACACTTTGATGATGATGAAACCTGGACTCTTAGCTCAAGAGGTAAATACAATACATGTTATTAAAGCTGAAGCTGAAAACAGTTTGGGGCTTAAGGATATCACCTTGCCAAACTGAATTTCTGGATTTATACTTACTTATAGAAGAGACATGATGAAATAAGTAAATCTACTGTATGGAAAATCGTAAAAATCTGATATGTCTGACATTGTATTTTTCTGTGTTTAGGTGTTAATCTTCTGCTGGTGGCAGCCCATGAGTTTGGCCATGCACTTGGCCTGGATCACTCCAGGGACAGAAGGGCACTTATGTACCCCACCTATCGATATGTCAACACTAATAGGTACAGGCTGCCCGATGATGACAGGCGTGGGGTTCAAGCCCTATATGGTGAGCAAGGAAACTACATTATTGTCAGATTAAAATAAGATGAGATCTTTATAGCCTCTGTTAGGGAAATTATTGACCTAGACTCCTAGATATGACATACAGGACCAACCCTGACGTCTGTTTATCTCCTTTAAGGACATAGGCTGCTTCAGCCATAATGTTATTGTTCCCATTCTGTGACCGGTCAACACTAGGTCACAGATGGTCTGTTGTTATGGGTGCACTGGGACACTTCCTTCTATGTTGTTTGTGGACTCCAAGGTATGACATCTTCGAGGCCATAAGTGACGGACGCAAGTGACTCAGTGTGCCCAACTGTTTAAACTATCTTGTCAAAATATGTTGATTACTCTCTGTGAAACCAGTTAAATGGGCTAACGAGAGAGAGGCGCTCCAGAATTGACGTGGCAACCCACCTGTGCAGTCTCACCGTGACTGCTGTGACTTGTGATGTGAATCTCTCCGGCCGTAACTCCAAATAAACCTCCAGTGTTTGACATCAAAGCTCCTGCTCTACCGTGTCTCCTTCCTGAGTCGGTGACTCCCACTGCATTGCTACACAGAAGTTTCCCTTACAGCCTCTATTTAAAGATCAGTATTGCAAAACAAAAGCCAAGATGGATTTTTTTACTTGGGTTTTATCTGAGCTACATGACAGAATGTTCTTTTTAACCAGTAACCAATGGACCTATTAATGAATGGCTTGTGGTTTTGTTTGTAATTTGTCTAATTCCTGTTTCCATGAAATGAGGTTCAATGGCATGGGAATTAAACTGAATCCATTTTATATTCATTGTGGTTTGTATGCTTGACAAGCAGGCTGAACATGAGCCCAATCCTACATGTTCCTAAAAGTGCTTTTCACTCTTATTTTTTCGAAAGTTGATTGCTTTAAGAGAACCCTAACCCTAATCCATCCCTCAGGCAGTCGTACGCCAGTGCCAACAACAGCACCGAAACCTAAACCACCTCCTGGTCCGGACCCTGGACCAGAGCCAGAGGAACCAACAGAGGATCCAGAAGACCCTCTGCCAAACCCCAGAGATGAGCAGTGCAGCCGAGAGCTGGTGTTTGACGCTGCTACCTCTATCAAGGGAGACCTCTTCTTCTTTAAAAATGGGTACATTTTTTAAGATTTTATGATGATCCTTTTTATGTGGGAGTTACATTAATACATTTCTATTAACATTTCAATTTACAATCCTTGCTAGATACTATTGGAGGAAGAGTACAACTACCAGTGGAATCCGTTTAACGAAAGTGAGCACAAAATGGTCACAAATCAACTCTGTCGATGCTGCATTTGAAGTCCCAAACAAGGATGTGGTGTGTCTTTTTGAGGGTAATTCAAAGATTGTTAGGCCTGCATGTTAAATAACTCAATACTGTTCATTTAAGCTGTCTATGAAACGACATGAATAACCTACAACTGTTTCTCTACAGGTCGTCAATACTGGTGCATTAGGTCTCATGCAAAGACAATAATTTCAGGGTATCCAAAGCCTCTTACAAACCTTGGCCTGCCCTCTTCAGTCAGTAAGGTCGATGCAGCTGTCTATGTGCCAACTACTGGAAAAACACTCATATTTGTGAAAAACCTGTATTGGAGGTGAGTGTTGGTCATGACCAAATCCCAATGGTCTTTAGTAGCTGAGTATATAAATGACTATAAACACAGATAAGTGAGGGTACACACCTACACAGTTTTTGCTAAAGTCCCCCTGTTCTCCCTTGCAGTTATAATGAGAGAAGAAACCAAATGGACTTTGGATACCCACGATCAATAATTCTGGATTTCCCTGGCATAGGCTTCAAAGTTGACGCTGCCTTTGAGAATTATGGTGAGAAATTATATTCACTCAACCTCAACCACAATCTGTATTAATTTGACTGATTTGTTTGACTTATTTACCTTCTTGCTGAGTGTGAGGAGTGTGACTGTTATCACTCCACATTGTCCAGGGTTACTATTGGACTTACAGTTATTATAAAATTGATAAACATAGGAAGACATATGATAACCCATTCACCATTACAGTTTTATAAAGTGACAGTAATTAGTATAACACAATTTACAAATTTTTGTTTACAGCTTTTATTAGTTACCACTGCCTTAAGTGCAACACTTCCATATAAACTACATCTTCCTTTCCACAGGATATCTTTATTTCTCAGATGGCCCCCGGCAGAGTGAATACAACCTGCCCTACAAGAGAGTGATACGTGTACTGCTCAACTACGGCTGGCTCAACTGTTACTAAGAACTCACAGACAACAGATCAATGTCTAAGATGTGCTTGCTGCCAGCATGTCATGAACAAATAAATGACCTGAATAACAATATTTTACATTTTTATGAAGTGGGGAATCATTTTTGGGGAAATGTAACTATTGCTTGGTTTATGCAAAGAGAAAGGATCTTACTGAGTGGATATTAATAAGGAATGTAATGACGGGAATTGTTAGACATGTTTAGTTATTTCAGTGATGCGTAATTGTGCCATTTTGGGTGTAAAACATGTGGTTTAACCCTCCTGTTGTCTTCGGGTCAAATCTGACCTATTTACTACTTTCATCAATCATAACTTTTTTGTTTTACATTCGATTGCATTAAGGCTTTATGATATCCTTCACATTATATTCGAACATATAAAATTGCTGATCACCACTTTCATTGAATTTTGGATGATTTCGTCAACTTTGTAACACCCGGTCAAAAATGACCGCCATAAATAAAAGGAATTAGTAACCATCCGGATCAGATAAAACACACACACACACACACACACACACACACACACACACACACACACACACACACACACACACACACACACACACACACACACACACACACACACACACACACACACACACACACACACACACACACACACACACACACACACACACACACACACACACACACACACACACACACACACTCTCTCTCTCTCTCTCTCTCTAAATGTGCCCCCCCTTATGTGCCCAATCTCCCCATGTGAATCACTCACACCTGGCACACACAAACACAAACACAGAACAATTTGACACATTTCCCGCTCTTATGTGCCCATCCCCCCACATGGATCACACCTGGCACACGCAATACATGTTCAGTGTCTATTCTTTGTATATTTACTGCAGTTGTTCATGTATACCAGTAGTCTGATACAACATTTACAGTTTGAAAGGGTGTTGAATGAAATTTGGTGATGATTAATGGTTTTTGTGTTAATGTATGGCAGTTAAAACTGCGAAGACCAAAGTAAGGGGGGGGGGAACTAAGACAATAGAAGGGTTAAAGTTGTTCTATGAACACATCCCATGGTTAAAATTAATAACTGTACCCTCAAGTCATAACAGGGCTACACTGAGTATTCATTTTGGAATACACCAACCTTGGTTAAACAGAAACAAAATAAGATAAGAAAAAAAGAAACATTGTATGCCATTACTTGTTCTTGGTTAAACCCATAAACTGGTTAAACCTCATGTTGTGAAATACTCCAGTATTTTTGCCTGGATGCTGTCATTTCACAATGAGGACTGCAGGGCATGTTAAGTGCAACTTTGGCCACATGAGAGGAAGTCCAATATAGGAAAAGAGCTGAGTCACCACTGGTTTCATGAACACAGACACATTAAATATGTTATAGTTTAGTGTTAGGATCCCGGTTGAGGACAAAACGCAAACCAGTAGATGTTAAGGTGAATAAGATGCAATCAGCAATAATAGCAGAACTTAAAATAGGTGGTTTACCTAAATGATGGCAACATACATTTGTTCTATTGTAACATGCAATACAACAAATTGCATGTTACAATAGACATGTTTAGAGATTAAAGGCGTAGGATTGGCGTGGGAAGGTTGTATGAAGATATTATTTTTAGGTTTGTTTTCTAGGGTTTCAAAATCTTTTCTACTTTCAGCCCAAAACAATAAATAGCGTCTGTCATTTTACATAAATAAACATAAGCAATATCTCTTTCCAGTCCAAGACCATTTTTAGGATTATGTTAGCACCATATGGTAAATAGCATTGAGCTACACGGTATGCTACTGTAATGTGTATCAACCTCAGATTAGAGCTATCTCACAACCTCAGCAAATAATCCAGCACTATCTACGGCAAGGGGTATGTGGGAAAATGCTTCTTTATAATTTAGGTTAACCATTACGGCCCGTCCACACTACAGCTTCGACAGCTTCAAAAACGGTTTCCAACGCTTCTGCCCATTCACTTTGAATGGGGTGACGTCACTTTTCGCCGAACTGCATTGTGGGAAGCAGAGCGGAGCTTTCCTGGCTTTTCATGCTGCAAAAGTTGAGCAATGTTCAACTTTTGAAGCTTCTGAAGCTTTCGGTGGAAGCGTCAGCCAATCAAATCATATGCCAGTACAAGCTCTAGCCAATCAAACCGCTGCTTGTGTGTCAGGGGCGGGAGATTTATGTGATTGGTTGTTGGTCGAGCTTCAGACACGCCGAGCTCCAAGCTTTTTTTGAAGCTGTAGTGTGGACGGGCCGTTACTGTGAATCTTTGGTGATCGTAAGAAAAGAGTGATACAAAGTAAATCAGATTCGAGGGAAATTGACCCCATTCATTGCTTTCAAACATGTCAGAATAACAGAAAAAAAGCAATAACTCTACTGTAAATTATGATTTTAGATGTTGATTTCTCGGTAAACAGATAATGAACTCAGTTTATTCGTCATTTCCCACAGTGTACCATACAGTTCTGTGCAGATAAAACAACCACACAAACATGTAGGTATGTACAACATCATGTAAGTCATTAGGCAATGATAAGAGGAGCTTTTATTTAGAGACACTGAAGGTGCCAGAAAAAAGAAAAACAGAAAATCAAAATAAAGAGAGCTCCTTTTCAGGACATTTTCATATTCATATCTTATATAAACTGTCCATGTTTTTAATTTGGCACTTTTAATCAAACGAGGCTTTTGCTTCCTGTAATGATGTGATTGATTCATTATTTGCCATTGTAATTGTTTTATTTGACTATAGCTGAAAGCTGGATGTGAGGGTGGCACAGGGTGAGCGAGCTATCAATATGTATTTGTTGTGTATGCTATGATATGTAACATTGGTATTGTTATTTGTATTTGTGCCTATAGGACCGCCTTGCAAATAGGATACCTTGGGTTATATCCTTTTAATATATTTAAATATCTAAAATTCAAATGTGTCTTTATTTCATCCTGCATGATGAGCCCCTTGATTCAGATAGTTCTTGCGGAAGAGGTACGGTAGACTCCTTTAGATCACTCCAACAGCTGAATGGAAAGCTGGTCCAGTTCAAGACAGTGCTGTTAAACATGAGGTCAATAGCCATTACCAGGCAGGGGTGTCCAAACTACGGCCCGGGGGCCAAATGCGGCCCGCGGACCATGTTGAATCGGCCCTCAGCTAATTGAAAAAGTATAATGGAATATGGCCCACAAATGAAACTTGTGCTTGTCTTATATTTTACTTCTTAAATGTAAACATATATTACACAGTAGTATTCATGTGTTAATTAAAGTTGGAAACATATCTTAGTTGATCAGAAAAAGCCCAATGACTTATTTACATAACAAGCTTGAAATAAACCCTTCCTATTTATCCTTATTATAATCAATCTGAGGCTTCTGTTTTAAGGGATAAGCTGCAAACACTCACAAGCATCCTACATTTGATTGATTTTGCTAACTTATAACTGAACTTATGAAGCAATATACCTCTAGTGAGTGGCCCAGCCCTTTGTATATTTGTATGTGGCCCTCGGTTAAAAAAGTTTGGACACCCCTGGCCTATACTATTTTAAATGTTTATAGTTTATTGACATTTTCGCCATTTCGCAAGAGTCCTGGTTACAGGGTATGTGGATACGTTTAAGTAAAGCCAAACAAGTATGTGTTACTTACCTTAAACTCCTCCTGAATTGTGTCAGTACCAATTCTAATGTGGCTGGTGCACCAGAGCCCTCTGGTGGCGAATCAGTGTAAGGATCCTCCAAGTATCACCACTCCACTGTTGAGTGTTGTTGGCCACGTTTTTGCTTAAGCTTCTAAAAAACATCAGTAGTATGAATTAACATTACCTTTTCAGCTGAAAAAAGGCTACTTCTGAGGACACGTGTCCATCATCAGTGATAACCATTTAGGAAAGTCCAAACCAATGTTTATACTTGTTTTCTGTCGACGAATGTCCCTTTTGCTTCCTCCTTGTTTTTCTCCGGGATCCGATTAATTTCCTCATAACATCTTTCTAAATAAAGTAATATGTGTACTTCCTTCTTTAATCCACTATGAATGCTAGGATATGTATCCCCTCAATGCACAGCCCCTTTAATGAAATATCAGTTATTTTGAATTTTTTTATCAGAAGATTATTTTAGGTAATTGTTCAATGCCAATGAAAACATGGAGCAAATAAAAGAAACAACGATATTTGTTTAAATTATTTTGTTATCCAAATTTAAACCGGATATCTTGTTGAGAAAATGTTTCCCAGAATAATGTCCGGCAGCCACCGATTTATGTTCCTCGATCACGTTGATAATGGCGTTTCAAAACCATACTTCGGATCTTTTCATCTGTCCCATTTCCATACGGTATTGCATTTCTACGGAAGCTGCTGCTAAGTGATAATGCGAGTATTAAGACAATATGGTTGTAAACAATACGATGAGGGCGCCTGAAGGTTCCGGTTGACACCCGGACACAAACAAACGGGAGCACAAACTGAAAGGAGTGGGTTTGCGGGTTTGCTGCAGATTCACTGAGGTGTGTATTTAATTCTAAATAAACACTTCTGTTGTAGTAACGTTATTAGCATCTATTAGCATGCCTTAGCTACACTATTTGCAGATGTGTGCGTGTGTTCCCTTGTCGCTAATGTTATTCTGCCTGGCGTCATAGATGGGAGAAGTACTCAGATCTTGTACTTAAGTAAACGTAGAAGTACCAGAGTGTAGGAATACTCTGTTACAAGTACAATTACACAACTATTAGCATCAAAATATACTTAAAGTACCAAAAGTACTAGTCCTAGATTTATTTACCTAACTAAAGGATAGCTTGTAATGTTACTCCAGGTATAACTAAAGTCCTTTGTATGTGTTTTTTGTGTTTCACATTATTAATCAAAATCTGCAAAGTAACTAAAGGTATTAAATAAATACAGTGGAGTTAAAGTACACAATTTACCTCTGAATTGTAGTGGAGTAGAAATAAGAAGTAGCAAAACATTCAGTAAATTACAGGTTTCTGAAAATTGTGCTTAAGTACAGTACCTGAGTAAATGTACTGTTCCTTCCCACCTCTGGCGAGTTACCTGCAGACAGGTGATACTT